AGCACCCACCTGAACCCCCAGCACCATCAGACACCCCCCTGTAACCTTAAAAGACCCACACACACCTGCCTGAGCCCATAGCATCCCTGAGACCCCCCCCAGCACTCTCAAAGTCTTTCATAGCCAGATCCCACAGCAACCATGACACCTTCTTTCACCCCCAAGCACCTCTTAAGTCCCCAGCATGCCCTCACAGTGCTCACCCATCACCCCCTGCAGCCCCCCCAGACCCTACAGCAGCCCCATCGGTTCCACTCTACCTCCTACAGCCCCACTGAGCTGTACTTGTGCTCCAAGCCCCGTCCACTGCCTCCCTGAACCCCACTTACTCCCATCCCCATGAGGACACAGATGCCCATTCTCGCAACTTGAGCGACAAGCAGTGATGTTAACCCCCTAAAAAGCATGAGAAAGCCTTAAAAAATGTGGGAAAGGCTCACAGGAGTAACAGGCTGGGAGATGGGGCAAATGGAGGCCCTAGAGCCACCACCATCATGAAAAGCTCAGAAGAAAGCAGGAGCAAGGAGTCTCAGCCTCCCTCAGCTCCTGGATGGGGGCTTCAGCCCTTAATTGCAATTAAACGCATTTCCAGAGTCAGCTGTTAGTTGCAGCTATGATGGTGTTTTTGGTATCTCCCCAGTCCCTTTACAGCCTTGTTTATGTTCTTGGCCTCAACAACTTCCCTAGGCGATGAATTCTGCAGTTTAGTTAAACATTGCAAGAAAAAGTACTTCCTCTTATCAGGTTTGAACTTCCTGCCCTGTCAATCCCAGTGTGGGAAGAAGGACAGTCTCTGCATCCCAATTTTACTGCCTTTCAAAGGGATTAGGGTGCAAATCTGGGGAATGCTGCTGCGCAAGACCCGAGACCTGATGGCTGAAGCACTGAAAGCTTTGGCTGATGATTTGTTCCAACTTGTTGGGAGCTCGTCCGGGTTCTCTGCTTTCCAGGTGGATACATCAAAGCGAGACGGTGGTAAACACCTGCTGACTTTGGGCTGGTATCTGAGATCTTCTGCAGTCTTGGCTTGGCTGGGGCAGCTCCTCTAATTCTCGTGGAGCGCCTTGAGGAATTACAAATGGCTCGAAGGGAAACAACCTGATTTAAAAAAAATTCCTGTGGTCCAAACAAATATGTATTTCCCTGTTGCTATTAATATCTCAGACCTTGATCCTCCTCCAAATACTCATGCATGCGTTTAACAGCTTGCAAATGAGCAGTTCCTTTGATTCTGGAGTGGGAATGTTTGCTGGGATCATGAATTATTAAAGGTGAAAGATGTTTTCAAATGTAACGTGCTGACCATGTTTTCCAACATGCTTTGTTGCCTTCCTGGTGTTTCTCTCAAACTGGCAATGAAAAAAATCATTTCCAAGATTGAAGGAGGGGTTTGGAGTGGGGTAACACTTGTTTTATGCTTTGGGCACAAACTCAATCCTTTTTTCTCGACATGATTTCTAGGGGAATAAGACCGACATCTCTTTCTGTCTGCTGCTCTGGGAAGCCTTTTCTTTTGCAGATCTCTCTTTTGGGCCCTGTCCAAGCTCCCTGGTCTTTCTTTGCAGCAGCAATATTGCAGTTTGAAGGTATTGCTGCATTTGCTGCCATCTAATGGGAGAGTTTAGCCTCAGCGACCTCAACTCTTTTTGCAAGCAAGTAAAAAGGTTTTCCTGCACAATCCTGCTGCCATTTGACAAAGCAGCATCTTCTGCACGTAATCCCAGCAAATTTAGGTGAAGGGAAAAGCTGATCTGATGGATGGCCTCAGCATACGTGCAGCTGGGCTGCTCTTCTTGGGGTCACACAGCCAGGAACCATTGTAGACCCAGTAAAAAGAACCTTTTTGGGTTGGTCAGGCTGAAATGGCGCTTTCCTTACCATGGACCCGACTTGCAAAGTGCACTTGGATTTATATGGTTTTGAGATAAATCAGCAAAGAAGAAATAGTGAAGATGGGCCCAAACAAACAAAAAAAGCCATTGTTGGATACCCTGAATCCAGGCACAGCTCTGAACTGAGCCACATAAACCCTTTCCCGAGGAGCTGTGGTCTCCAGGCTGCTCCCGCTGCTCAGTCAGTAAAAATATTTTATAATGAAATATGGTAAAGAGGGATAAACATAGAATAGGAGTATAAATATATTGCATTAAGAAAAGAAAGTCTTTTAATGATAGAGCCCAGGGAGGATGGCTTGTGGCAGGGGCAGGCTGGGGGGAGACACTTAGGGGATGGGAGCTCTAGCGGTATGGAGGTGCTGGAGCACCACGATGGGGCGTGCAGAGGAGGTAACTAACCTCTAAAAGGCTCAGAAATTCCTGAATCACTGCAAAATTGTGCCCTACCTGGTGAAGCTCGTAGCCCTGATTTTTCTGAGCATGAGCTTCGTCCATCAGTGGTTTCATCTCCACCTGCAAATCAATGTAATTTCCACCAAGCGCTTTTGGGTATCGCACAGAGCTGGCCCCGTTTAACGGGGTAATTCTGTGAGCAGCAGAACCAAGAAAGCCTGCTCTCGCCTGGCTCCCTGCGGTGCAGGTCTCCCCCGTGGAGATTTGTCATTGTCTGATAAAGACTAAACTTAAACTGCAATTTTTCCGTCAATGGGGATGTTAATTAGTCTCAGTTATTCAGGCCTTTATTCTTACAGAAGTCGCAGTGTCTCAGAGCTTTGCAATTTCTACCCATCGCTAAAAACT